CACCCAAATTTGAAACATCATTACCATTCAGAGGAACAACCACAGCAGGAGACAGGGCTACAGGCCCAACAGGCAAAATGGCCTCACATACATGAGGAACACTACATGTAAATTAACCTCAGGAATAGTAAAATTTCCAGCATAAATAACCATAGGCTGCTCTGGTAAAACTTCTATAGAAACTGCAAGAGGAGCGGGATTAAAAGCTAAATGGGGATGTAAAATCAGGCAATCAGCATTAGAATGACCCAAAGCTTTGCAATGAAAATAATAAAAAGGAAACTCTTCCATTTCAGCCTGCTAAAATATAACCCATCTTCTCAAAACCTAGCCACACTTGGTCCGGAAACAGCTTAGTAATATCTAACTACACAAGAATGCGGGCAACCGAGGGCCTAGTCCCAGTAGAAGTAGCATTATCGGTACGTAATGGATGACCAAACAAGGATCCGAGACCATGAAGCACACGAGGGGAGAAAAGGTGTGGACGTATTTTTGGGAAAGAAACTCAGATTGGGATGACAGGGGATTCAACATTGATGTCAAATTGGGGTGACCACTTAAACAACTTCATATAGCAATTCTTAATGAAGTAAGAACGGTAAGAAAAAACTCTAAAGTAGTCTAGGTCATTCATCAGCTTAATCAAAATGTTCTTCGAGTTCAACACAGTAATAGAAAAATCTCCATTTAACTTAAGTTGGAAAAAAAAATTACGAATAAAATCAAGCGTTGGACGACGGCCAGTAAATTTTCCAACCAACACAAACTCAAACGAAGCAGCCAAGGCCAACATCTTGGCATCAAAAATTCAAAGAGAAGGAAGACCATTGCAAGAGGTGATTTTGAGATCAGGAAAATCAGCTGGGGAAGAAGACCCAGACAGAACCTCCCGGAAAGAACACGATTTGGTCTTACCGTCCAGAAAACCGGGGTCAATGATCCGATTAACAGCCATAACCACCAGAAAAATGAACGAGGGAGAGAAAATGAAAAAAAAAAAAACGAGAGAAATTATGAAGAGATTACCCACAGGACGGCCACAGCACGAAGAGGAAGATGGAGGAAAACCCTAGCCATCTGAAGATTTTTTTATTAAAAAAAAATGGAGTATACATATAGCAATGGCAATGAATAAATAGGTTAAAATATACAATCCAACTAGGCTGTAGCTGTCCACTTTAATTTCACGTGCAAAATAGCCTCCCACGTGATGCCAGTTGGAGAATGGCATTCAATTTTTGCTCATCTTTCTCAATAAATTTTTTTTAAAAAAACTTGCAGTGTACTATTCTATATTTTTTTAAATAATTCTAAATATAAATTGTTATACACATCGGCTGACCATAACAAATTTAAATTTAATAGTTATCGTTATAAATCTGCTAATTAAATAAATGATATTCATGGTTAATATTGATTTGCAGAAAACTAGTATGATCACAATAAATTTTTATATAATGTTTGAAAATTTTTAAAATTAAATTTAGATTCAATTGAAAGCTAATTTCAATAAATTTATAATCAAATTGAGGGTCTTGACGAAATAAATCTAACAGTAAAGGTGATCTAATCTTAGTTCAAATAAGGCAAAATAGAGCACTCTAATGATAGAAACTTTGGGACATTAATTGAAAAACCAAATGACTTATGAATCTTGCATGGTTATAGTCGAAACGAGCGCTCAACAAGAAGAATCTAACAAGTGTAAGATCATTTGATTTTGATATCACTGAAGCACTTAAATACAGGTTAAATAGTTTATGATCAAAGGATTTGATATAAGCATTTGATAGAGAAGTATTGAATTTTGGCTAAATTTACTAAAATGCCCACCTAAAAGTACTATTAACTTTCACTCTCGAGGTAATATTTTAATTAGAAAAAAATTTCAAAATTAAATTCAAGATCAACCAAACTCTGATTTCAACAAATGTTTTGTCAAAATGGATGTCTCGACTAAACATACCCATTAATATCACAAGTTCATCAAACTAAGTTTAAATGAATTTAGAACAGGCATTTGAAGTATATTTAAAAACTTCTAAAATATTAATTGAAGGATCAAATAGTGTCAAAATATTGCGTGCTTATAGTCAAATCAAGTAACTCAACTAGACAAATTCAATAAGCCTAAAATCATTTGATTTTGACATCATTAAGGCACTTAAATGCAGCTAAACTCATAAACATCAAGGTGTCTTTAAGTTTAATGGTTGAAATTTCATTAATAAATGTCAAAGTTAATCGTGTTAGAACAGAAGCAATCTTAGGATGGGTGATCTTCTGAAAAATTATACTAACGGGCAAAACCGTGATGCAGTTATGCCAAAGAAGATAAATCTTGATAGTTGAGAGTTTTGAGCTATTACAAAATGGTATTGGAGCAATATAGTTGCTAGAAGATGAGAACAAAGTATCATATAAGACAAATTGTCATACAAGGAAAAGTGTTATGCCATTGGGGCTACCTCTTGAACCTTGTATAAGATAAAATGTTAGATGGTGTGAGCCACCACTTGAACTTATAAGGGACATATCTAGAATCATATTTGATTGTGAATGATTCTAAGATAAGTATGTTGATGAGGAATTCAATTACTTATGTGAAGGAGATTGTGAAAACTCTTATGTAAAAGAAAAAAAATGGAATAAAAAAAATTGAGTCACCTTTTGGTGTAATAATTGATATTTCATTAAGAAAAGCTAAATTTAAGTGTGCTCGTGTGGAAGCAATTCTAGTATGAATGACCTTTTGGGAAATTATACCAATGGGACAAAACTGTGAAATCCAGTAAGTCAAAGTGGGCAATACCTCGATAGTTAGGAGTTTAGGCTTATACATAATCTATAATCAATGGGATTAATATGGATCATTTGATGAAGGGTAATTCTAAAAAAAGCTTTAAATATGGTTTAATTCTCAATAAAGAAGAAGTTGGAGAACATGAAGAGCTAAAAGAATTCAACTCCTTTTTTTGCTGATCACAACCAATGATTACCATCAATAATTATGGCCACCATCACATACTTCATTCAATTGACTATTATCACTTGATTATTAATATCTAATTATATTATTAACCTTTACATGTCCATTTTTTTGCTCTCCTTTTTTGTAATCCTTATAATCTGAATTAGATAATTTGTCTTAACCCAACCCGATAAGACCCACAGATAGGTTAGGTCCTATCATGTTGGTTTGTGACAGGCTAAACCCAAGATTTGAGTTTGGAAACTATTCATATTTTACATCCAATTTTAACTTTAAAATAAACAATAAACCATAAAGCTACTAAAATTTTTCTAGTGTACAAAAACTAAACTCAACCATAAAATTTTCTTTATTTATCATCAATATTTACCCTTAGAGATAGGATACGAAATGAGCATATACGTGAAAAGGTTGGAGTAGCTCCAGTAGAAGATAAGATTAGAGAAAGTCGCCTTAGATGGTTTGGTCACATAAAACGGCGGCCTTGCGATGACCCGGTTAGGAGAGTAGAGGTATTAGATTTGACTTATGTTAAGAAAGGTAGGGGTAGACCTAAAAAGACTTGGTTAGAAAATATTAGGAATGACCTTTCTTTATTAGATTTAAACGAGAATTTGACTTTTAATAGGACACAATGGAGAAAAAGGATTCATGTAGCCGACCCCACGTAGTGGGATAAAGGCTTGATGTTGTTGTTGTTGTTGTATCATCAATATATATATCAACGTCATTATTTCGTTATCGATTGAGGTTTCTCTGTAATATTGCTTCGTTTGAAAGTTGTTTTAAATTTATATTTTCATATTATTGTAAATGTTGAACATCAAAATTACGTGGCAAGTTTTGTAAGTTTAGATCAGTAATTAATAAGAAAGTAAATTAATAAAATCTCGATTATTTATCAAAAAAACCATCATTAAAAACTAAAAACACTTAACTAATAACTTTAATCGTTTAAAATAGACATAAAGTGGCCATCTTAAATTGTAAATTTACTTATTTTTTAAGTTTAATATTTATTAAAAATATCAAAAAGTTTAGAGTTATATTTAATTTAAAAGCCTAATTTTTACCGTATAAAATAATGCATAAAAAATTTCAAAAATTCAACAATACTAAATTCAAATATTATTCACCGAATCATTAAAATCAGTTAACCAATTGAAATATACAAGAAGCATTTGAAAGATTAAGTTTTTAAGATATACTATATTGAACTGCAGGACTAAATATTGTAATGAAGTCTGATTACTTGAAACAATTATTATGTAAGGACACCTGACATAGTTCTACATCCAGACGCAAAAAATATATCGTCATGTGCTCTTACTTTTTACAGCGCGGCCTAACGACCCAACCCAGAACGGAACCCAATATTACTATATTCGTGTATTACTAGATATTGCTCGATATAGCTTAGCAATAACAAGAAATACCACTCTGTCAAGATCAATACCGAGCAATACATAACAATACCAAACAATATCTAGCAAAATCGGGGTATTGCTCGATATTTACTCGGTATTGCTAGGTATTGGACTTGAGAAAACGGCATTTCTCGTTATTGTCGACCAATACCGAGCAATACCTAGAAATACCCCGGTTTGCACAAATCAGCCAATACATAGTAGTACCGAGTTGGGGTCGTCAGGCCACACGGTAAAGAGTAAGAACACGTGACGACATATTATTGATGTCCGGACATAAAGCTACGTCAAGTGTCTAGACCAAATAAAAGTTTGATTACTTGAGATTATTATGACAACGCCACATTATTTTGTCAATAATTATTTTTTTTGCCATTTTTTATTAATTTATTTTTAACATAATGATTATAACAATCTTTATAAACACTTATAAAATTCATTCCATACATTTATAAGTAAATTAACCTATTTTCATCAGTCTCACTTCGAAGCAAATTTAAGCGGACAAATTATATCAAAATAAATTACAGAAAACCAGTAATTTAAGTAAAGATAAGCCATTTTCCTTTGCTACAACACTGTCATCTAGTCTCAATAATGCTAGTCAGTTCTTCTTCAAGTTTCTAGAATAAGAAGAAGAAGAAGAAAACCTAGATTGTGTCGCCGAGAAGTAATCGAATGCCGACGGCCCCACCGAACGTCTAGTAGCCGTTGGAGAATCTGATAGCAGGGGCTCATGTACAGGATTTCTACTCTTGGCTTGAGTAATAGACAGAGATGATAAATCTGAATCCACAGGCTTGATCTGTGACTCCAAGTTTCCAATGGCCATAGCATAGATTGGCCCACCAGATCTCTCATTCTGTTGGAGAATATTGATAATATTTGGTTTGTATGTGTAACGGAAATATTTGATTGCCAAGATGGGCCCCATTCCTATTGCAAAAATAAGCTGAAAAATAGGAACCAATCAAATCACCTAAGCCTTTGATAGGAAATTACTTTACTAGCTCAGTATAGTATGATTATAAGCTTACAATCATTGTAATCCAATAAGTTGGCTGTCTAAAGAGACGAAACATTATAGTGTACATCCCAAGTCTTGGAATAGTGCTCACCAAGCTATTGATCAAATAAAAAGCAAGAAAATTTCCCCATATGGCAATATGTTGCAATATGGTGAAAGAACTGCATTCATGAAAAATAGTTTAATTAGAAAGGTAGAGGTAGATCTAAAAAGACTTGGTTAGAGAATATTATAAATGATCTTTCTTTATTAGATTTCAATGAGAATTTGACTTTTAACAGGACATAATGGCGAAAAAGGATTCATGTAGCCGACCCAACGTAGTGGGACAAAGACTTGATGTTGTTTTTGTAGAAAACTTTGTTGGAGTCAGGGAATCAAGATTGAATATGAGAAAGCTTACTTCATTTCAAGTGTGACAACTAAAACCTGTAGCCATATGCAACCCGAAAGTGCGACCATTGAGACCTCTTCCATCTCACTTTTTTCACCGGAATAGGCATGCATGGTTACTAGGAAAACCACAAGTGCCTGTCAAATAAATTTATTAGAGCCAGGTGAAACTCATAAATAACATTGAAGACTACTGTATCTTGCAGTCTTAACAGTCTAGTTTAAATGGAACAAGAGTTCAACAAGCATTGGACAAGAGTTGAAAACTTAGCAATCTTTTGAATATTAAAAATGAGGATAACATAGAGCTAGTTAACGGTCTACATACAAACCAACTAAAGCTTTCGTTAGTAGGGGTATAAATGAGCCAAATTTGAGAGAGCTCGAGTGTTGTTTAGTTCGGCTCGTCAAAAAAAGGAGCAAATTTTGTTTGTTTTTATTTGGATTTATAGGATCAACATTTTTCTAATGTTTATTTAAAGCCGTCTCAGTTAAATATTTAAACTCATTATAAGATTATTAAGTTTTATTCATAAAATTTTATTAATTTATTAATAAATTGATTACAAAATATGCAAATTCATTAATTCGCCTGTTTGGAATTTTTTTTTTTTAATATTAGATATTGTTTCATGTTGGAACATTTACGGTAGTTTGAGAAGAGAGATTTATCAACTTAACATTATATAAAATCTATCATACATATACAAATAAGTTAAGAATATCTTGTGTAAAAGCCTCAATCAATATATACGTAGGAGGTTTTAATTAATGAAGTTGAAAGATAACTAGATAAAAAAAAGGTAAAAATCTTTAAGTCTGAAAAAGATGGTGAATATTATGAATGTAGCTAGGATGAATATACACAATGCCTTAATCCATTTGCTAAGTTCTTAGAAAAACATTGCATATATGCTTATCAAACATTGCAAGAAAAATAACAGTAAAATGGTGTAACCATACTTTTAATGGATATAGTTAAGATTATGTTATACAATTCTTCTTTATCCTTATGATCATTGTGGAATTCTTCATTAGTTATCCAAAAAAAATGTACTGGGAATAAATTTTACTATCCTCGCTATAGTGTGAGAATTATTGAAACTATAAGTATTGGATTCATTGGGAATGAATAAATTAATTTAGTCTATTATTTCAAATGATTATTTGGCTTTTCTACGAGATTTAATTTAGAAATTGATGATTATCTAGTTTCATTTACACAAATCATGGAAAGTATTAATTCTACTAAATGGTTGAATGTCATGTAAGAAGAATTGAAATCTAAAGATCGTATTAAAGCATGGTGCCAAAGGTTTCAAAAATAGTTGAGTGTAAGTGGATCTTAAAGAATAACTCTTAACTAAAATGACAATAACAAATGACATAAGGCGATATGTGTTGCCAAAGGTTTCACTCTAGGATATATAACGTTGACTACAAAGAGACCTTTTCTCGTATTTCAAAAAGGGCTCATTAAAATTATTACGGTAATAGTGACTAATTCCGATGTAGAACTATACCAAATAAATGAAAAAAGTGCTTTTCAGAATGGTGACTTAGGCTTCATTTGGGACAGCTTCCTTATTGCTTTTGAAAATAGCTTTTTAGTACAAAATTTTCTAATTCAAAAAAATTTTGTACTAAAAAGTTGTTTCAAAAAGAAGCAAGAAAGTTATCCCAAATGAATATTTTTGTACTAAAACTCTATTTTATGAAGCAATAACAAAGCGTTCCAAATGAAGCCTCAGAGAAACAAGTTTAAAATAATCTACCTATGGGTTTTCCAATTGAAAAAAGGATACAAGGCATGTAAGCTTATGAAGCCAAAATAAAATCTTAAACAAGCTTCAAGATATTGGTATCTTAAGTTTAATAATTCTATCATTTATTTTATGTTAAAAAAATACAATTAATCGATGTATATATTTGAAATACAGTGGGATCCATTTTATATTTTTGATTTTGTGCTAATGATATCTTGTTTGCTACTAATGATCTTAGTTTATTACATGTGACCAAAATATTTCTCTAAAAAAAATTTAAAATGAAAGATATGAGTGAGACATCCTACGTAATAGGAATTGAATTATTCTATAACCGGTGATCACATTAATGCATCTTATTCTTTTATACAAGGATGTATATATATACATGAAAAAAAATATGTGAATATTAACATGATTTGTTTCTAACAAGATATTATTATTGGACCATTATGTGCATGGAATGAACTATATCGCATTAATGATAAGTGATCATCATGATCCATATTAGCTTTTGCTTAATGATGAATTTATGATTTGATCAATTAAAAAATATTTGGCTCATATTGCACATTATATTTATTATTATTATTAAATCATCAAATTAAATGATATCAGATGAGTGAGGTTGAAAAATATTAAAAATAATTCTATAAAGTTGACCATATTGATTAATTATTTAATTATAATTGATTGAATAATTAATTGCATGTCGAAATTCTATTCATCAAAAGAGTGATAGTTCATTAAAATGTTTAAGGATCATTTGATAAAAAAAAAACTAAATAAAAAACTATTGGTCCTCTGTGTCCCACATTCAGTATTAGATTTTTTAGATAATAAACTAACCCAAGCATGAGAGAATTGAAGGTTAGAAGCAAGAGAAACCAAGTTTCTAAAATTCTTCTATCAAAATTTAAAGAAGATTACCATGAATCTTGAGAAATTATATTCAAATTATTATTTTGTGACAATCATCTTATTCAAGATCTTCGGTTTCAAGTTCTATATAGAAAATTAAAATTTAGGCTTCGCTCAGGACAATTTTCTTACTATCTGGCTTTTCGGACCTTAATCATAATTTTTATTTGCCTAATACTTTTACATTACTTTCAATAAATTTTTATGCCAGGAAGTTGCTTTCTACAGCATCTCTTTAAAACAAGTTATTTTCTCTGCAACAATTTTACAATCACCTTTATAAAATACTGCAGTTATTCCAAACGAACTCTTAATTTGCATAATTAATGAAAATTTTTCATATAACTAAAAATCCATCATCGAGATGCTTTTTTAGACTATAAATTTGCTGAAAAACGGAGTTCAACTAGTGATCTCAAAATAGATTCTAGAACATTTTGATTTGAATACTTTGACACTATGACATCTCAAAATAATTTCAAGATATATAGGTATCCGATCAATTGGATTTTCTAGTGGCATATCAAATATAATACAATGTAATATATAATACATCACATGAATGCATAATTTAATATAATATAAATATAATACAATAACATATATTATATATTGTTTATATGTGTTTAGATCATTATGTAGGTATGCATAATATATTAAGGTTTCGTTCTGTACAGCTTTCTTATTGCTTTATGAAGCAACTTTCTAGTACAAAAATTTCAAATTCAAAAAATTTATGTACAAAAAAAACTGCTTCATAAAATAATAAGAAAGTTGTCATAAACGAAGCCTAACTCATCTAATTGAAGAATAGTGCTACTTTTGTGATCCAATATTGGTACTTTCTTCAAGTCAATAATGGCAGGACATAAGTTATCTCACTTCTACCTTTCCTATTCACATGCAAATCAGATGACTCCCTGCGGACATTTTTCTTGGCTTCACATGCTAATGGAAGCCATCACATTCAAATGGGATGAGTCCCCCATTGCAATTTTTCACAGCTTCACATGCAAACTACTAAAAAAATAGGCTTTCGCAGCACTTTTTCTACCCTACAATACGGTTTTAATTTACACTTTTTCCGCTGCATATCCGTTGTATTTATTATCGCTGCGAACGGTTTCCGCAGCGCTATTAAAACCGCTGCCATAGAGATAGCTTTAGCAACGATTATTTTAATAGGGATAATAACCGCTACAAGTTTCTGGGATTGGATCTTTAGCAGTGGTAATAACCGCTGCTAATTTATACTTATTGATTTTAGAAAAAAGTCTCAACTATGGTACACCTGTTTGACTTTTTTATGAATGTTGTTACTGTGTACTACATTTTGTCAAAGTAAAGAAATTTTTTCAGGTAATTAATGAGTTATTTTTTTTTCTCCATTTGATTCATAGCATTTGTTTTGGATAGCTTAATTTCTCGGTGCTTTGCGTTTCAGAAAAACAATCATAATTTCGTTTGTCTACAACTTTTTTGTCGCTTTCTCATTGCTTTTTAGAAATTTCTGTGGTGAAAAGTTGTTTTTTGTGACTGAATTAGCTAAGTTATTTTTCTCATAACAACTTTGCAACCAACTTTATAAAAAGATGCAGCCGTCCCAAATAGTACCATAGTGAAATAAAAGCTTGATGATGTTGATTTTGTTGATATTGATCAAAATTATCATTATTATTAATTTTATTTAAAATAAAATACAACTTGCCATAAATATATTTTAATAATAACATTTATATAATTTGAAGTTTTAGATGTTATATAAATAAATAACAAAATTTAACACTAAAGAACTGAAGACTATTGCCTAAACCCTAAACTATCCACTTCAACCGTATTTGTTCTTAAAATTGTGAATTTATTTGCTTAACAGATGCTTGGAGGTTAGAAATATAATAAGCATGTCTTATATCCATTTGATTATTATTTTCTCTATGCTTTTAATTTGTGTAGTCTATCAAATTATTTTCTCGGTGCTATATATATTATTGCGTTCTAAAATATTCGCGGCGATAGAAATATATAAAGTTTAGCATTCTTATTTTGTATGAAGATCAACCTTGCAAACAGATAAAAGAGTAAAGTGCAGGATTCATAAGTGATACTAATATTTTAATGTGAAAGATCCTGAAAAGAGGAAAAACTATGACGTCTGGCCCAATTTGAATGAATCTACTAGTATTTGTAATTGATTACAAATGACACCTTTTATCTGGGGAAGACGTTGGCTCAATTAGCAAATACACATTATTTAACACTTTACATGGCTAAAAGAATCCAATGTCTTGAGTTATGTCCTTAAGAAAGTGTTGGCCTATTCATTGAATCGATAGGACTTGTATTTGGACGACAAAGGTCGGAGGGATCGTAGTCGGCAAGTGATAGAGGTCTGAAGAACCATAGTCGGCTGGCTACGGTGATCAGAGGGACTGAAGTCAATGGAAAATAGTGGTCGGAAGGACCGTAATCAGGCGACGGTGGTTAAAAGAATAATAATCGAACAACGATTGTCAGAGGGGCCGTAGTCAGGCGAGCAATAGTGGTTAGAGAAAGACTCTTTAATTGCTTCCATATGGAGGTCGGGAAAAAGTCCGATGCCAGTCGACAACTAGGTAAAAATCCGATGGTAGCCGACAACAGTTCGGTAGTGGTGGTTCCAAGGTGGAGCTTCAACATTAGAGCTCTTCTTTTCTTCATTCCCTTCCTCCCTTTTCTCCTCTTTCATGAGAAAAATGAGGTATACTTATAGTTTTTTGAGAGTGACATGCTCTATAAATATAAAGAATATCGATGGCATGTTGAGAGTATTCCAATGAACGGCTCATATTGATCCATTTGATTGTGGAACGTTTATCAAGCATTTGAGTGCCCAAATGATGTCAGAATTGAGTGATCTTGGGCTTGTTGGACTCCTCTCGTCGAGCAGTTCGATTCGATTATAAACATATCGCTAGATCACACTCACTCCCCTAATGAAATTGGTTTTTTGAACGGATGGTTCAATATGTCAGTCAACTTATCTAAACAGAAAAAAGCCCATGGATAAGAAGTCCAATCAAGATGGAAAGAGGGAGGCTCAAAGCCCTAAGAACTAGATGTTTGTAAAAAAGAAAAGGATTTGATTATCCAACTAATGCTTTGAAGCCTCCAACCATGCTTTGGACCTTTGATTTGGACTCATTTGGGCTTGGATTGGATCAAATTTGATGTCGTTCAATTCGTCTCCTCGAGATGTTCACTTTGATTATAAGCTTGCTGAAATTGGAGAATAAATGATCTCAATTTCAATTTTTAAAACCTTAATCTCATTTTTTGTAAATAATCAAATTGAATAGCCAGTCTTTCATTACCAGCAATCTGCAGTCAGCAAGACTGCACACTCGATAGTTGGCCGCACCGACCGAAGCCAAGCCACTCCGTGAATCGGCGTCGTCCTATAAATTTCCCCGTCGGAGTTCATCCCCCCCGATCTCTTCGTCTCTCCCCTCATCGAGATCCATGGGGATTTCACCTTATTACATCCTCCTCTTAATACCCATCCTCTCTGCCTTCTTGCTTCTCCTCCTCTCCCTCATCGCTCGCCCCCGCCCATCCCGGATCCCTATCAAGGGTCGCCACGTTTTCATCACCGGCGGGGCCAGTGGCATCGGTCTCGCCATTGCACACCAGGCTGCCGCCGAAGGCGCACGAGTTTCCATTCTAGCGCGAAACCCCAAGCGCCTTGGGGAGGCCCGGGAAGCCGTTCGTCTTGCCACCGGCGTGGAGATCAATGTCTTCAGCGCCGATGTACGGGACGCCAAGGCCGTGAGCCGCGCGGTCGAGGAAGCCGGGCCTATTGACGTGCTGGTTTGCAACCAGGGCGTGTTTATGCCTCTGGAGCTCGAGAAGCAGGAACTCGAGGAGGTCAAGTTTATGGTCGATGTTAATTTGATGGGCACGTTCCATTTAATAAAGGCTGCGCTTCCGACGATGAAGCGGAGGACCAGGGAGACTGGCCTCCCAGCCTCTATTGCCTTAATGTCCTCACAAGCTGGACAGGTTAATTCCGATTCTTCCTGCTGTTTGATTGGAGTTTTCCCCGTTATTGGTCATACTTCGAATTTCATTTGTCAGAAGGTCGAGTCTTTCGGATAATCTATGCATACGTGGTTGTGCATTCAAGCAAATCTCCCTGTGAGACTGTGATCTTGATGTTTTTCGACCGCATCAACCGCTGTTTTATCTGTTACGTTTTTCTGCTGGAATATTTGAAAAAAAAAAAAAACGTTGTGAGCATTCAAAATAAGTACTGTGGAAGTTATAGCATATGCCTTTTTTGGGAAGATTTTGCATACAAACTATGTTTTTGAGATGGCTTTTTATGATTTTTTTAAGACTGAATAAACAGAGTATGCATTTAGCAGGTTTAATTGGGCGTTCTTGTTCTCATGTCTTTGTAATTCTAATTGTTGATTGGGGTCTTGATTGTCAATCTAGGTGGGCATCTATGGTTATGCAGCATACTCCGCAAGCAAATTTGCTCTTCGAGGCTTGAGTGAGGCGTTGCAGCATGAGGTCATTGCCGATAATATTTATGTGTCTCTGATATTTCCTCCGGACACAGAAACGCCAGGTTTTGTTGAAGGTATGGCACATATCTGTCTGCATATCTAGCTTTCTTGTTGAATTTGCTTATATGATAGGTATTTCCTGTCTCCTTTTGCTTTTCCACATTCTTCTCTGTTTTTCATTAAGGTTTTAACTTAAAACTCACTGTGCTATTTCGTTCAAGGTACCTGATTTACCTATTATTAGTTTCATATTTCTGCATGTTATGGTTAATTGGCCTGCCTATTGTTTTTGAAGTTACAACGCACTTGTCAAATTATCTGATAAGTAGCTCTCTTTTATAATTTTGAGCTTAAAACTAAGCTTCGCCAAGATATTTAACTGGAAGGAAGGTCTATCTGTTCACAGCTAGTGATGCACATTGTTCACTCCAAACATTGTTGATTGAAGTATCTGCTGCTTAGGGCATCTCCAACCAAACTCCAAACGCATGAATGACGTCGCTCGCGAGCTCCAGCCGAACGGCAAAACTTCCGGTATTTGGTTGCGGGTGAATAGTGCAACGACAATATTGGCGTTGCACTGTTTACCTGCGTTATTTTTCTGTCTCTATTGGATTTGTCAAAGAAACGCGTGAAGGAAAAAAACGGTTACCTGAGCTCAAAATGGTGTTCGGTTGGAGATGAATCACACTATTTTTTTGTTGAACTGCATTTTTTAGTGAAAAATGAGCTTTTCGATTGGAGATGCCCTTAATTTTAGCATATTTTAGCAGCTTTTGTGATGAAAAGAGAAAATTTACATCAAGAGTTATAAATGAAAAATCAGCTCATATTACTTTTTCCATAGGACTGCATATTCTAGATAATGAACTTGTTTTGGGGGCTTTATTTCTCTCAGGAGAGCAAGAGAGAAGACCTGAGCTCACCAACATAATAGCAGGATCATCTAAAGGAATGAAGGCAGATGATGTCGCTAAAGCATCTCTGAATGGCATCAAATCTGGAAGATTTATCATTCCATGCAACTTTGAAGGAACAATGATAGCTATCGCAACGTGTGGCTTGTCTCCTCAGAGTTCGTTCATAACAGCATTTATTGAGGTAGCTGGTGCCAGTTTCTTAAGACTTACAGCTCTATTCTTCCAGTGGAATTGGTTTTGTACTATAGAGAAGTGGCAGAAGACCAAAAACTCTTCTAAACTGAAAGAAAACACTTATTAGCATGTTATAGGACGATACTGCAGTTCTAGCTTTCTTGCTCTTTGGTTACTCTGAAATAATATTAAATTCAAGATAATGTTGCTATGAACTTTCCCTTTCTTCCACTCCTCTGCCTTTGATTCATAAGGGTTGAGACTTCGGCTTCATTTGGGACGGCTTTCTTACTACTTCTTAAATAAGTTTTTCATTACAAAAATTAATTTTTTTCTACTAGAAAGCTGCTTTAAGAAGCAGAAAAAAAACTATCCCAAATGAAACCTTCATAACTTGAGATGCATGATAATTTGCATGGCATTTACCTTTTAATCAGACATTAAATTTTTTAGCTTTATGTAATAACTGTACCAATAGTTTCAAGTGGTGAGATAAACATTTGGTGAGGCTGTTATAGTTTACCGGTTGATTCTATTCTACTGCGAAGCAAATCAATTGACCATTTGATAGATTTTTCCACCACTTCTTTAACAATTATTTTCCTTGCATACAAAGCTAGTGACTAAAGTTTTGTTTGGGACAGCTTTCTTACTGCTTTCCGAGGCAATTTTTTAGTACAAAAAATTACTATTCCAAAAAATTTTATATTAAAAAGCTTCTTTAGAAAGAAATAAGAAAGCTGCCTCAAACGAAGCCTAATTTCATCATTATTGTGCTTTTTGCACCACACATGTTTGTTGCATGTCATTCAATCAATAGGCTTGAGATTTTTCTTGGAGCTTTAATTTTAGTACTTAAGGAAGGTGGCGCGCTCTTCTTTTTTATAAAAGAGTCCCAAAGAGTCGATAAGCTTTATACCCATATTAGCAAGAGAATTTAGTAACACTAGAATCAATTTGACTTGTTAGATGCAGTTCATTGTAATAATTTGTTGGTTGGGAGCTTAGGCTATCAATGAAGAGATCTCAAATTCATGAATTGCATAGGAGTGAGATGGGATTGCATGATTTCTTTCATAAGAAACTTTATGAAGAATTAAATGAAGCTGTAACTATCCAGATATCAACTGTTGCAATGGTTGTAGTTAAATTATTCTTTTTGCTTGTATGACTGTGAGGATTAAATACAAAGGAAGAGGCGGGGCCAAGCAGGATGTTCGTCTTCTCCGTGCAGAATTCTTCTAGCTGGTAAGCTCTTATTTGCAGAATACATTACTTTAACAGAAGCAAGAATGAATGCCACAACTACCTTAGGGGTCATGTGGATTTTTTTTTTTGTGTGTTTAACTGTTTATTATTATTTTTTTAATTTAAAATAAAAAATAGAAATCAAATATATTTTCCAAAAAAAAAAAAAAAAATGTAAAGTGATCTCATACATCTCCTAGTTTTTAGTCCTACATAGTAAACTTGGGCTTCGTTTGAGATAGTTTTCTTACTACTTTTTAAAGCAGCTTTCAAGTAGAAAAATTAAAATTTTTATACTAAAAAATAGTTTTAAGAAGCAGTAATTAAGCCGTCTCAAATAAAGCCTTAGTTATGCCATTTGTGCTCTTTAAAACTCCTACTACTTTCATGATATTAATGATCGATATGCTTAAATCATTCAAATGAAAGTTTCTTGTTGTCTACTTTAATAATATTTTGATCTATAGGATAGATGAAAAGCCACATGTAGAGCATCTAAGACTTGTTTTTGAAACCTTAAGATCCTATAGACCCTAAACCGCTTAGCACATCATTAATCTGGACCGTTCCATCAGAGATCGAACGACCAGGATCAATGGGCTCGAATTTGTGGGATTGAAGTAATGGATCCAATTCGACTAGATCACAGTAGTCCTGTGAAGTCAGATGAGATGGATGAAAGTTTTTTGTAGTCAATTTTTGGGCTAGGAATGACTTGATTTCACCGGCGAGTTCACTACAATGGAGCCGACTTGTTTTGGTTGATCCTGGTGTCGATGAAGCCTAGTTTTATCGGGTTCAACCTGATAGACTCGCTTAGCCAACCCTTCCTAGCCGATTGAGATGACTTGAGAACTCAGCCCAAACAATTTTGGTGTACAATTCTCACAAATCTATAATGAAGCTCATGTTATAATTCACATTTTTTTAGTTTATTCTAGATTTAAAATATTTAAATTAGAATTCCAATTTATATTTTTTTATCATAAATTTGTTATTTATGAAACCTAATTGCACCAAATTATCCAAGATGAAATTATCAAAATGACAATTAAGTTATGGAATTACAATCAATTCCATCACAAAGCCTTCACAGCTCCCTCACAAATTCCGCCACAAATCCATCGTAAATTCATCATAAAATTACACGCCAATTACACTTAGGCTTCGTTTGGGATTGTTCTCTTACTACTTTAATACAAAAATTATTTTTTTAAAAAATATATATTAAAATTATTTTAAAACCCAAATCAAACCTTGACATTACACCGATTGACTTAAACCCTAATTTTTCAAGTCGAGCTGGTCAAGTCAATTTTTCATATCTGATTCAGCATTGATGCCCTAATTTTGAAAATATTTTAGTTTTGATTTGTTTGGATTGGATCGAGCTTCTTGATTCAATTTTCTTTAAAGATTTTAATGGTGAGGAGATTGGCTGAGGTGCCTCTGGGACAAGTATAAAAATCTCCCCCATTTTTATTGGCAAAGAACCGCAAGCTGTAAGCAGTAAATAATGGTTATAAGCCCGAGCTGCTTCTTATTGAAAAAGGTTTTATTTTGGATAATTTTTTTATTGTTTTCTGAAGCAAAATTTTAATACAAAAATTATTTGAATTATAATTTTCTTATACCAAAAAGCTGCTTTAAAAAATAGTAAGAAAGTTGTCCCAAATGAAGCCACGGTCACAAAGATTTGTTGACGAGTTTTATAACGTGGTAATTTTATATGCTTTCTAAATGATAACTTTATTATAAAAATAGTTGAAATTTAATTCACAAATAAGCTTTATTTAATGAGAATTATACATATATAATACACGCACGTACACACATTTTTTATGAAAATTTTGACAAAATAATACCAAATCTATCTCCAAAGGCACGCAAAAATTTCTTCTTCATATATAATTTATCGTTATCATTCAATATATAGTTAAAATGCTAGTTAATCATAGTTTTCATCTATGATGTACTGACACTTCTTTATAAAGATATTGACACAGTTTTGATATTGCCTGAAAAAATGTCAGATATAGCAAAGATGTGTCAAATTAAAATAATAATTAAAAAATTAGGCAAATATGTCCTAAATATTATTTTATAAATTATATTTTAACTATTATTTTTAAATAATTATATTTAAGGAAAATTTCTTAACAACAACATTCATTATTGTCTCAGCTTCATAGGCTATTGACAGTGTTGTCTTCCTATAAAAATCTCCCCCAATTTTATGGCAAATTATTGAGTCAAGTGACCGAAGCAGGGGAAGAGAAGTGCACCGCAAAAGCCCTTGCTGCTCTCCCTATCACGCTCAGCGAGTCATGTCGAGTTGACCCGAACCCGAGACGGGTCTAGTTGGAGTCTTAGAACCCGCCCCATTTTTTAAAAAGGGTCAGGTTTAGGTCAGATCAAGAAGTGCCAAGTCAGTTTCAAATTGTACCCGAACTCGACCTGAAACCCAATTTTGATAGCCCTACTCCTAAACATGGAATTGCGTTGTGTTGTAACAAATCCATGTTGCAAAGTTTTTTTTAGGTGAGTGTTAGCTTTGCTCAATGTTAATACTGATACTGTGCTTCTACCATGACATGTGATATACTTACCAATATTCTCACAAGAAAATACAAACTATTTCATGAGTTAATAGTCAATTCATTAGCCCATGAAGAAGCAAAGTTACAAAATTCTAACATTGTAGTAATATTATTCAGTCAAAACTAATTTCTAACAAAAGAATAAATAAACAGCTATAACTCAGAACAAACAAACAGAAAAAGAGAAGCCTGAGATTTATTTAAAAAAATAGACAAACAAATCAAAACAAGCCATAAAGCACGCTATAAAACAGCAGCCACAGGTCCATTCTTCTGTTCAGCATAATACATGCAACCCTCGAAGGGAACATATTGAACAGTTTTATATGGACCGAAAACATTTCTACAATTCTGATCCACATGAGTTTTATTTGTAGATCTTTGCTCCTTTCTGAAGAATGAAGACATAGCTAAAGGGTCACTTCTGTCCTGTATAAGGAGAGTAAAGAAGAAAAAAATCCTACAAAAAGAGAGACGAATGGGATCTGACTGCACCAGAAGCCACCCAATTTGCAACCTACTATCATCTGTACAAAGTAGAAGACAATTTAAATGTTGTAAAAATATGAATTTGAGTGTTTTTTTAAAAGAGTTGAACAGTTACTTGCAAGTATGATATTAAAACATCTATTTTGAGCATATATTCTTCAACTATATTGTCTTATCTTTTGCATAAAATCATATCAACGGCTCCTAACACAATTTTTTCCCCACTAGAAAAGTTGCAGGAAAAGAGATGTTTGGATCCGAATCAAGATCTTGCAATAACAAAAATTCAAATTTTATATAACACTGAAGATTTAGACTTCTTTTGGGATGGCTTTTTTACTGCTGCTTGAAGCAACTTTTTAATATAAAAATTAACCGGCGAGATCACTACGATGGAGCTGACTTGTTTTGGTCGATCCTAGGGTCGATCAAGCCTAGTTTTAGCGAGTTCAACCTGATGGACTCGCTTTGCCAATCCTTGCTAGTTGGTTGAGATGACTTGAACTCAGCCCAAACAATTTTTGGTATACAATTCTGTCACAAATCTCCAATGAGGCTAATGTTATAATTCATATTTTTTTGAGTTTAGTCTAGATTTAAAATATTTAAATTAGAATTCCAATTTATATTTTTTTATCATAAATTTGTTATTGATGAAACCTAATTGCACCAAATTATCCAAGATGAAATTATCAAAATGACAATTATGTTATGGAATTACAATCAATTCCATTGCAAAGCCTTCACAGCTCCCTCACAAATTCCGCCACAAATTCATCGTAAATTCATCATAAAATTACAGGCCAATTACACTTAGGCTTCGTTTGGGATTGTTCTCTTACTACTTTAATAAAAATATTCTTTTTAATATATATATTAAAAGCTGCTTTAAAAAGCAGCAAAAAAGCTATCCTGACTGAAGCCTTAATCGCAGTTCCATCACAATTATATTTTAATTTCATGGCATAATTGCTATTTGCCTCATTTTTTATAAAAATTCATTGCAAAATAATTGGAAACCAAACAATCACAACACAATGCATAAACATGAAATTATATTAAGAATTATTTAAACAATTCAAAAGCTTGAAAATACTATCATCAACAAAATTTTAAATATATATATATATATATATATATCAGCAAATAATATTTTTTGAAACTTTCAAGCAAATTTTGTCGCAATTTCACAAACACGTATATACAGCCCTTCAAACTCATGACCACTTGATTGAAAATCTAAAAAAGTCAAGAAAAAACAAAATTGAACCGGCCAAAACCGAACCTAACCGACATGACTATATATATATATATATATATCAGCAAATAATATTTTTTGAAACTTTCAAGCAAATTTTGTCGCAATTTCACAAACACGTATATACAGCCCTTCAAACTCATGACCACTTGATTGAAAATCTAAAAAAGTCAAGAAAAAACAAAATTGAACCGGCCAAAACCGAACCTAACCGACATGACATGAGAAATAAGTAAGCCTTGTTAACCTAATCCAAATGAACACGATTATTATATTTGAAGGTGCCAAATCAATACAAATAATTAAAAAAAAATACAATCTAATATGAATTTTCATTATCAAAATTAAATAATTATATTGTTATTTTCAGGTTGAAATGATTTCAATCCAACACAACCCGAATTAAACCTAATTTTCTTTTAAAACACTTAAGCTAACCCAAATCAAACCTTGACATTACACCGGTTGACTTAAACCCTAATTTTTTAGGTCGAGCTGATCAAGTCAATTTTTTATATCTCAAGATCAATCAAGATAGAAGCTTATCGCTTCAACATATGTCCGTTCCCCCGAGCTCTGCTAGGGTTCCCCCTTTGGGGGTCGCTGGCCCTCCCCGCCTTGTTTGGCCTCTAGTCTCCATTTTTTCTAGTATTTTATTCTCTCTATGCGCTCTTTTGTTGGTTTTTGGGATTATGGTGTTTAATCGTGTGAAGGATCCTGGTTTCCTTGACAATAAATCCTCTTCGTGATATTTTCTCGAAGCACTTTCATCGCCTTCATCCTCTTTTCCTGATCTTAAAGCTAGCACTCATCATGGCTTACCATCTCTTTGGATCTCGGATGAGGAAGTGCTCGCTTTGGCGGCACCATTCGAGTTTTCATTAGTTGGTTTTTTTTCGGAACGCCAACCTTCCATTGACGCAATTCATAATTTTTTTTTCAATCTCAAATTGAATGGTAGTTCTTCTGTTACGTACATTGCTGAGTGCGAAGCATATTTTGATTAAGCTGAGCAACGATTTAGACTATTGCCTGGTTTTTGCCCACCGTTCCTATTTTGTGTTTAGCTGCTATATGAAACTTACAAGATGGTCTCCTTGTTTTGATGTGAACATTGAATGCCCTGTTATTCCTATTTGGATAGGTTTTCCTAACTTGTGCCCTCATTTTTTCTCACCTCGTATTCTCCATGGGCTGTGGTCTTTGTTCGGTATACCCCTCAAAACCGACTTTTCTACTACAGTTGGCTCTCGTTCGACTGTGGCACGTGTGCTTGTGGAGCTTGACATTACCAAACGTTATCATGACAGTATCTGGCTTGGCTCGGATAAATTTGGTTATGTTCAGTTAGTTGAAATGGAGGTTTTCCCAAATTACTATGGTAATTGCAAGTCTATTTGTCATGCCAATTCGAATTGTAGTGCCCTGTTTCCTAAGCGCGTTGATAAGGTTAATGTTAATTCTTATAATTGTTGCTCTTCTGATTCTGCTGGGGACCCTATTGTGGTTGTTTTACCTGGTGAGCAAACTCAGTCGGTTTCTGGTGTTAATGTAGGGGTTGGGGTTGTTGTTGGGGGTCCTGTTGCTCCGCTCTCCCCATATGTTAATTGTCTGAATTTGGTTTTATTGTGGCTCCGCTTGACTCTTTGGCTGTTCTTGTTGAGCCTTTGCCTTCCCCGTCCTTACCTGTGGCTAAGTTTTCGGGTAGTCCCATTGTTGTTTTGTCTTTTGCTGATGATACCCAGGCTCTTATCATGGCTGTTGAACCTACTAAACAGGTGGTGTCTGACTTAATTTTACGTGATTGTGAGGTTAATAATAGTGGAAATGAGCTTCCTATAGATCTTTCATGTGTTAATGTTGAGGCTGATTCTGAGTCTTCTTCGAGAGTTGGTAGTCCTGCTGCTGTAGCTGTGACTTGTTTGCCCTTGTCTGGATCGAATCGATCGGTTAATTATGTGGACATTCCTATTACTGTTATGTCTACTGTTGAATTAAATGCTCACCTTAATTGGTCCTCAAATAAGTCGGTTTTGGTGCAAAACGATTGGCTGGATTTGGAGGAGGATTATCCCACTTCTTGTGAGGGTGTTGAGGATGACTTGGGTGATAATGTGGAAGATGATTTCACTCTTGTTGCTGGGGGTAAAAAACGTAAAAGTAAAGCTAAGAAGAAATAACTTTTGGTTTGCCATTTTCGTATCGGTTGCTATGATTTTTTGTGCGCATTCGACGATGATGAGGCAGCTTTACGCTTCTCACCTTGTTTGTCATGGTTTGTTGGCAACCTTGGTGGTAAGTCATTGCTTGGTGAGTGCCTTGGCTGTTGTTTTTCAAAGTGTCACCAATATATGGTCCGAACTTGGCTACGGGGTGGTTGCGTGGAGCTGCAAACTTGAGTCCACTGGACTGCCTCTTGCATCCTGCTCTGTCATTTGCTGTTCTTATTTCTTGACTTTGTCGAATGTGCTTCTTTTTTCAGTGAATCATATACTTTTGCCTCTTTTTATGAAATAAAATCTTTTCTTTCTGAAAAAAAAAGAGTCAATTTTTCATATCTGATTCAATATTGATACCCAAATTTTGAAAATATTTTAGTTTTGATTTGTTGGATTGGATCGAGCTTCTTGATTCAATTTTCTTTAAAGATTTTAATGGTGAGAAGATTAGCTGAGGTGTCTCTGGGACAAAGTATAAAAATCTCCCCCAATTTTATGGCAAATTATTGGGTCAGGTGATCGGACGCGGAGATAGATTTGGATATTAATAAAATATTATTTTAAATTAAGCACAGGTAAAGCGCAAGTAAAGCGCAGGTAAAGCGCATGTAAAGCGCAACTAAAGCGCAGGTAAAGCGCAACTAAAGCGCAAGTAAAGCTAAGGTAAAGTGCAGGTAAAGCGCAAGTCAAAAGCGCAGGTGACGCGGCAAATTTTTATTGGATATCCGAACTTATTTTTTGCGTCCGGTCACCTGACCCAATAATTTGCCCAATTTTATTGGCAAATATTAGCAATCTGTAAGCAGTAAATAATGGTTATAAGCCCGAGCTGCTTCTTATTGACAAATGTTTTATTTTAGATCTTATTGACAAATGTTTTATTTTAGATATTTTTTTACTGTTTTCTAAGCAAAATTTTAATAAAAAAATTATTTGAATTAGAACTTTTTATACTAGAAAACTGTTTTAAAAAATAATAAGAAAATTGTCCCAAACAAACCCACAGTCACAAAAATTTGTTGACAAGTTTTATAATGAGTAGTAATTTTATATGCTTTCTAAATGATAACTTTATTATAAAATTAGTTGAAATTTAATTCACAAATAAGCTTTATTTAATGAGAATTATACATATACTTATATAATACACACACGCACATACTTTTTCATGAAAATTTTGACAAAATAATACCAAATCTATCTCCAAAGGCACGCAAAAATGTGTCAAATTAAAATAATATTGAAAAAATTAGGCAAATATGTCCTAAATATTATTTTATAAATTATATTTTAACTATTATTTTTAAATAATTATATTTAAGAAAAATTTCTTAACAACAACATTCATTATTGTCTCAGCTTCATAGGCTATTGACAGTGTTGTCTTCCTATAAAAATCTTCCCCAATTTTATGGCAAATTATTGAGTCAAGTGACCGAAGCAGGGGAAGAGAAGTGCACCGCAAAAGCCCTTGCTGCTCTCCCTATCACGCTCAGCGAGTCATGTCGAGTTGACCCGAACCCGAGACGGGTCTAGTTGGAGTCTTAGAACCCGCCCCATTTTTTAAAAAGGGTTGGGTTTAGGTCAGATCAAGAAGTGCCAAGTCAGTTTCAAATTGTACCCGAACTCGACCTGAAACCCAATTTTGATAGCCCTACTCCTAAACATGGAATTGCGTTGTGTTGTAACAAATCCATGTTGCAAAGTTTTTTTTAGGTGAGTGTTAGCTTTGCTCAATGTTAATACTGATACTGTGCTTCTACCATGACATGTGACATACTTACCAATATTCTCACAAGAAAATACAAACTATTTCATGAGTTAATAGTCAATTGATAAGCCCATGAAAAGCGAAGTGTTACAAAATTCTAACATTGTAGTAATATTATTCAGTCAAAACTAATTTCTAACAAAAGAATAAATAAACAGCTATAACTCAGAACAAACAAACAGAAAAAGAGAAGCCTGAGATTTATTTAAAAAAATAGACAAACAAATCAAAACAAGCCATAAAGCACGCTATAAAACAGCAGCCACAGGTCCATTCTTCTGTTCAGCATAATACATGCAACCCTCGAAGGGAACATATTGAACAGTTTTATATGGACCGAAAACATTTCTACAATTCTGATCCACATGAGTTTTATTTGTAGATCTTTGCTCCTTTCTGAAGAATGAAGACATAGCTAAAGGGTCACTTCTGTCCTGTATAAGGAGAGTAAAGAAGAAAAAAATCCTACAAAAAGAGAGACGAATGGGATCTGACTGCACCAGAAGCCACCCAATTTGCAACCTACTATCATCTGTACAAAGTAGAAGACAATGTAACTGTTGTAAAAATATGAATTTGAGTGTTTTTTTAAAAGAGTTGAACAGTTACTTGCAAGTATGATATTAAAACATCTATTTTGAGCATATATTCTTCAACTATATTGTCTTATCTTTTGCATAAAATCATATCAACGGCTCCTAACACAATTTTTTCCCCACTAGAAAAGTTGCAGGAAAAGAGATGTTTGGATCCGAATCAAGATCTTGCAATAACAAAAATTCAAATTTTATATAACACTGAAGATTTAGACTTCTTTTGGGATGGCTTTTTTACTGCTGCTTGAAGCAACTTTTTAATATAAAAATTAATTTTTTTAACAAAAAGTTGCTTTAAGAAGTAATAGAAAAGCTGTCCCAAACGAAGCCTTAATTAAAAAAAATAACAGAAAATAGACCAATCCAGAAATCAGTAATGGAAAATTGAAGTCATTTGGAAATCTTTTTAAATTAATTTTAAGAACTCACAGCCAAAGAAGCCACATCTGACAACACAGTAAATAGAGAGGCAAAGCAAAGTGAGATGCTAACCTTTGAGCTGTTTTTTCTGTCTTGACTTCATTGTCCTCCGTGGCCTTTAGGGAGCAATATTTTGCCCATTCTTTAAACAGTTCAGCAGCATCTATTCTCAGGGGCTGTGAATCTAAAAGCTCAATCATACTTGCCTCTTTTTCATCCTTAACGAAAACTGTAGCAATAATGTGACTGAGAATAACCATGCAACTTAGGTTTTGTTTGGGATAGTTTTTATAATGCTTTTTAAAACAGCATTTTAGTATAAAAATTTTAAGTTCAAGAATTTTTTATAATTTGAAATTTTTGTACTAAAAAACTGTTTTAGAAAGCAAGAAAAAAGCCGTCCCAAGCGCAACCTTAATATTCATGCAAAAAGGAACAAGCCAGATTAGAAGAATACCAGACTCTGATTCATTAGTCCCAATATGAATGGTGATTCCTTTTGAGGAATCAGTTTGATTATGATTAATGCAAGTTGCTTCCATACCATCAGAGTCTAAGCTACTCGGCTCTGTCGTCGTTCGATGATCTGCCTTTCTTTCTTTTAGTTGACCACTATTTTTTTCCTTAGTTGGAGCTGCAATGACAGAGAAGATGGCTTTAGAGAGAGATAAGAATGAACTAAAAAAAAATCTTGTAATAGGGAAAGCCAGGTGAGATGCCTTCCACAGCTGGGTTGTCTAGTAAGATCTCTTGAAAGCAGTTATCAGTACATTTGTGGTACGGGTTTGAAGCTTTTTCACACTTTGGTTTCCTATCTCTTCTCTCTGCTTCATTAACCGCTTTCTTTCCTTCGGATTTAATCACTGCATTGATTTATTATAATATGAAAAACTGGTGTTCTCACTAAAAAAAAAAAAGTAACGAGATTAAGGCTTCGTTTGGGACAGTTTTTTTGTTGCATCTTAAAGCAAATTTTTAATACAAAAATTAAATTTTTTATACTAAAAACCTACTTTAAGAAGCAACAAAAAGTTGTCCCAAACCAAGCCTAAATAGCTCACCTCCATCAGATATATCCCTCTGTGCGACATTTTGGAAACAGTATTCAGAACATTTATGGTATGGGTTTGATGCAAATCTGCAATTAGGATTCACGCCTGTTCTTTCTGTCGTGTTGACTATTTTCTTTCTTTCCTTCAGGTTTTTTGGATTCATGGCTGAAAAATACGTTAAGTTAAAGCATGACTAAGAACTTAAGAAGCGGAGAATTAGGAGCAATTAGCATCAGGCCTACCTTGCCCAGCCTGGACCCTTTCAGGTGCCTTCTGTAAGCAGTATTCAGAACAAACATGATATGGATTTGATGCATATTTACACTCAGGATTAACTCTGTCTGCTGCGCGGACAAGTTTTTGTTCGTTTGGCTTCAGAACTGCAACAATTTCTTTTCAATTGAATTACAGAGATGATTATAATTCACAGTAAAAATTTTCTCTTTTAACGTTAACTTACCACCCTTACGAAGGTCACCGACAGGGCTATTCTCAAAACAAAATTTACTACATCTATGGTAAGGATTGGATGCATATTTGCAGTTTGGATTCACAGCACTTTCATCTACAGTTATTACAACTCCTTTGTCCTTCCCTGCAGTCAAATAAACTATCAGTACACTCAGCTTATCTTGATATGTTGGTTGAAAATTTTGATTACTAATTAAGAGATCTTGAGTTCGAAGCTTGTCTATGTGATGCCTGTGTGAATTTACCTTAATGGCTCAAATGTTCCAAGAAAAAAACTATCAAGACACTAATTATTGATATAAGGCAATATACAATCAGTTGCTTGTCTTAAAAGGAAACACATTAAAAAACAATATGAAAGTCAATAATACAAATTTGACCCTTAAAAATCATACCAAGATTTGAGACGCAATTTTCTTTTTAGGTTCAGCTTCAGTTTCGGACTTCCATCACAAGTTCTAGTTTCAATGGCAAGTAAAAAAGCTGTTCCAAACGAAGCCAACAAGCCTGAAACTTGCAATTTTGATCGTTCTCCCAAGCTTTCTCAGCATGGTTACCAAAATCACTATTTATTTGACTTGCAACAAGATTATTATGGAAAGGCATCAGCTTTTTAATTCCCAGGTAAAAATATATTCAAAGTTGTTTTAACTTCTTGATTTTTGGATCTTGATGGTTATCAAAAAACATATCAGGTTGATTTTGTGTCAAACATATTGATTAACACAAGAATGAGGAGTGAATAAATAGATTTTCAGAGGAATGTAAATAATGATCTTTGATTCAATAAAAATTACTTCTAATTTTCAATCTTGAGTGCGTGAATGGGATGTGATTTCTATCACGTGTAGTACAAGAGCGGTTGTCTGATTCAAATTATCTCCTTATAAAGGCACAAGGTCAGGATTTCTTATTTTGGTGAACTCTTATTTTGAATTAATTTCTTCCAAGTAATTTGTTACTGGATCACAAGTGGCTTTCAATTTATTCAAATTTGGCATATCTAATTGTGGTGATTAAATTACAATTGTTTGTTAACTTAGCATGGTTCAAATTTCTCGTTGTTTTTTTAGATTTATTAGATCATTACATAGTTATTTGGGTTCTAATTATAGTTATTTGGGTTCAAGTACAAAAATCGGTATATATACAATGTAGTTAATCTAGGTTTATAATTTAGAATAAGGTTTAAGTGCGAGCTTTATGGTTAACTAGAATCAAATTGTACTAATTTTTGCCAATCATATCTATTAATTTAAGGATGAGGAGTATAAATAAATGTCACAAAGTATATAAATTATAATATTTAATTAAGTAAAAATTTCTTCTTACAGCTTCCTATTTGTGTGTGAAAATTAAATGTGTGATTCCTTTGAATGTCGTACAAGTGCAGGTATCTCATTCTCGTGAAAGTCATCTCTTTGCACCAATCTGAGGCAAATCTTTCTAACGTTGTTGAACTCCATCATTTTACTAATTTATTCTAAATAAATTGTTATTGACTTGCAAGAGCCTTTCATTTTGATCATATTGACAAAAAAAAATTTTAATTTTGGTGATTAAATTACATTTGTTAACTGATTTCACATGATTTGAATTTTCATTGATTTCTTCTAATTTATTCAATCATTACATTATCATTCGAGCTCTAATTCTTGTATTTAATGTTTAGCCTTTAAGGAAATTTTTTTGACTTATTTAGTGGTTTATGAACAACAAATCCTAACTTTCATTCAATGATTTGCATGCATCACATTATTCTAATTGCATTAGAAAATCCTAACAATAAATCATCATGTATAAGTTTAGAGTTCTAGGAGTTTTGTTTCTCTTTTAGAGAGTAGAAAGATATGAAGGCATGCAAAGTTCTAAGTGATTTAAGGGCCATTTTTATATATGAATAATAATTTTATATATTTCTTGACCAGGTTGTGTCATAGTCAAGTAGGTTTTTCCACTTTATCAGCACTTATTTGAATCGACCCTATCCCTATCATACACCTTTCAGTTCCAATGATTCCAACATTATCTCTAGATCTATTGTCAGTGTCCCCGATAATTCATAACTGTCCGCACGTTCTCCAATAGTTTTCCTCAAATGTGATACAAGGAACATCGAGTGTATAGTAGCAACCAAGCGAACTTCAATTGATAAGCCACAACTCCAATCCTCTCTATTATCTCGAAAGGACCAAAGTGCCTCCAAGCCAGCTTTTCATTTCTCTTGTGAGCTACCATCCTTTGTCTATAGGGGCATAGCTTCAAGTATACCATGTCTTCTATCTCAAACTGGATATCCTTCCTACGTTCATCCGCCTACATCTTTACGATCTATTAGGCCCTTAACAAGTGTCTTTTCAACTCATCCAACACCCTTTCTTTTTCCTCCAAATATTACTCTATTGAAGAAATTGCATGCTCTTCTGCCCTAAATGTACCTAGTGAGATGGTTCTCTTACGTACAACACTTAAAAAGAGGTCATTTACGAAGCTGAATGATAAGAGGTGTTGTACCAGTATTCTGCTCATGCCAGCCACTTAGCCAATAACCTAGGTGTCTCGGAAGCAAAACATCATAGGTATGTTTCCAAGCTCTTGTTATGCACTTCTGTCTGCCCGTCAGTCTGGGGGTAGTAGGTGGTGCTCGTCTTCAGCACTATCCCCTACAATCTGAATAACTGCATCTAGAAGTGACTGAGGAACAACTTATCTCTATCCGATACAATAAACATTGGCATTCCATGCAATCTGACCACTTCTCTGATGAATGTCACCGCTATTTTCAGGGACGTGTAAGAGGGTCGTAGGGGAATAGAATTAGCATACTTGATCAATCAGTCAGTCACCACAAAAATCACTGTAAACCCCTTAGATTTGTTGACCTGTGTCCAGGACACAAAAAAAAAACATACATGTTCGTATGTCCGAAGCCATCCCTCGCATGATCCCGATTGCACGTCGTTCACACATTTACATCGCATCACCCACGTGACACACCGTTCAACCACCTATACACGCTTTTCTTAACGTGATAGGAGGGAACCCGGTACGACACCTATGACGAGGCAAGTAAGCAACTCTTGAACCCAAAATCCTGCTCTCGGCATTTGTGTTGAGCCAGAAAACCACTCATACACGCTTTTCTCTTGCGAGGTGGGAAGGGAACCCGGTGCGACACCTATGACGAGACGAGTAGGCCCTATACACGCTTTTTATAGCGTGGTGGGGACAATTTTAACTACATGTACGCGACTTTGTACCTGCGGGGAAAGAAAATTGTGCTCTTTTAAAACAGGTGTTGAAGACCCATACATGCCACTCTGGCGTTGTGGGATTGAAGATTTTACGGCCGTGGTGTCCGAGGACACCTATCATACACGCTTTTCTTAGGTCCTGGTCAGGTTGTCGACCGGAATATCTATTTTATATCTTAATATAAGGCTTTCAAGATCTCTAATAAAAAAAAATTCATCAACAAAGGTATAAAGCCTACGAAATCTGATCCCCTATAGGCAAGTTGATAGGGTCGACAAGGTTTAAGACACAAATGGAAATGACCCCAAAATTACCCCGGTGATGGCCATGCTGAATGCAGATCTCAACCGGAGGAATTAATTTCAAACTTTTACAAAATTCAAATATTTTCAAGTGACCTCAAAGTCATACTGATGATGGCCGTGTTGAATGAAAATATCAACCGGAGAGGTTAACTTCAATATTTCAAATTCCACCCAAATAACCGAGAAAATCCAAAAAAAGTATTTAAAATTAAAATCAACCATCCAACCAGTTAAAGTAAAATCCATCCACTCTCTATAACAGTTTGTCGAGGTGGACAAATTTAAAACTACTTCAACTCACATAGAGCTAATGCCTAATCGAAAATATCACTAGGATTTATTCTTAAATAATCTCCTGCCAGTAAGGACGTGGTATGTTTCCTCTAACTGACAATTTTGCCGTCAAATGGCACCGCATGATAAACAGTTAAGACCCTATGAACCGAGTGGTTTTGCAGTCAAATAGCAGCACGCAATACCGGCTATGGCCAGAGTCAATACGTTCCTTAGTGGCATCAAATCCTTTAGATATGAATCAATATGATATAATCGATTGGGCATAAAATCCTATGTTAGCTAAGGTGGATTCAAATTTATCTCCCCTTAGACAAACATTCATCCCAGGTCTACAAGGTTCTTTGGACGAAGCAACCAATGGCTACCGACAAGAATCCTTCTATCAGGTTGGGTCGACAACCTCCTCTGACTAAGTAAACCAGGGACCATAATGGCTCGGGATGATGGAACCATGGGATCTTGATCGGGTCCATCATCTATCCCCCCAGCATCCGCTTTAAGTACAAGATGGTGAAATTTCTAATTTTAAACATCCAATTTTCAACCTTTCAGATATCCAAAGCTCATGCTGCTACTATACGCTTGATACTACATATCTATGGATATAACATATTTGATCGACGACTAGCCTTTATCGAAAGTTCTCTCCCGTAAATGGGAGGGGTAATTAAATATAGGGGCTTGCGCCTATAGGAAACCATAACTCAAATCATAAAGTCCTCACAAAATGAACTGCGCTCCCATATAACTCTTGTAGCAGCAGTGGAATATGGACGGAGGTCCGAGGCATCACAAACCTCCCTGGTATAGTAGTCTCTCACCCTCTAAAGAATAACCATGGTGACTATTCCCATTCCTAGGTAGATCTGCTTTAATCCATCTCAATAACTCATGATGCAAACTCTCTTTTCTAATGGCCCACCAATCCAGCATCAGGGGTATTGACATAACCAACTCTTGGAGCTCTCCCGTGTATCTGAATAAGGCATCAGTAGCCTTGTTATCCAATTCGAGCCTATAATGGATCTCAAAGTCATAGCCTAGAAGTTTTGACAATCACCTATGATGCTCCTGATCACCATCCTCTGCTCCAATAGGTACTTCAAGCTCCTCTAGTACGTCTTAACAATGAAATATCTGCCCAACAAGTAAAGTCGACACTTCTTAATAGCTATCATGATGGCCATCAGCTCCCTCCCAGAGACTGACTTCAGCCTAGCTCTAGCTATCAACACCTGGCTGAAGTAAGCGATGGGCCTATGATTCT